AAGTTGCAACAATATTATCACAGGCAATTTTCAGGTGCAGAAAAATCAAGTTTTTATTTAAAGAAAAAATCAATCATGCTCTTAGTTTCTTTCCTAATATATTTTTTTATGTTCATTGGTTAGGGAATGTATTTTGAAAGTCCTTTGAAAATACTACCTAAACTTTATTTGAAAAAGTTATAAGAATGGGATAAGGAAGCAAGAATATATGTAGATTTAGAAACCAATGTATAAATATGTGAACATTGACATAATTTTAGAATTGCTTCTTTTTTATTTTACATTTCAATTATTTCATTTACATGAATCTGGAATTATGCTATCTATAATAATAAAAGCATAATATGCTAATTAGACCAGACAGCTGAATGACCATCTGGACATCATTCCAGACATCCTTCCGGACGAAGCCACAGTGGCGGGGGCCAAGGCAGAGGCAGTTAGAGGCGATCAGGCAGGCAGGCGAGTGGTTAGGGTGATCAGACAGGCAGACAGAGGCAGTTAGGGGTGATCAGGCAGGTAGGAGAGTGGTTAGGGATGATCAGGCAGGCAGGCAGAGTGGTTAGGAGCTACCAGGCAGACAGGCGAGTGGTTAGGGGTGATGAAGCAGGCAGGCAGGCAGGCAAGCAGTTAGGAGCCAGCAGTCCCGGATTGTGACAGGGATGCCTGACTACCAGTTTAGGCCCTATCCCGCGAGGGGTCCCGGATTGCAAGAGGGTGCAGGCTGGGCTGAGGGACCCTCCACCCCCCTGCATGAATTTCATGCACCGGGCCTCTAGTAGTCTTTTAATATCAGATAACCATGCTTTGTTTTTTAAAAACAAACAAACAGTATTAGGTCACTACCTGTAAAGATACATCTCAGTCCTGGCCTGCTGGCTCAGTTGGTTGGAGTATCATCCCTTACACTTAAAGGTGGAGGGTTCGATTCCCAGCAGGGCATATACCTAGGTTGTGGTTTGATCCCTGGTCTGGATGCCTACAGGGAGACAACTGATCAATGTTTCTCTCTCACACTGATCTCTCTCTCCTCCTTCCTTCCACCCTCCCTCCCTCTCTCTAAACACACACACACACACACACACACACACACACACACACAGCCTCAGGTGAGGATTTTTAAAAAAAATACATATCTCATAGTTTTGTTTGTGGTCATGGCAGAGACTGTTAGTATTCCTCTGCATTCCCAACCTCCCTTGCAGTTGGGTCATGTGATGGGTCCTTGCAAAAGGACCGTGGACAGAAGTGCTGCTGTTAGATAGGATGAAACTCTTAAGGTCTGGGAAGTTTTAAGTGTTATTTTTTCCTAAAGGTTAAATTATAGATTATAGACACGGCAGTGAACAGGATGCGCTGACGGGAACTCAATGGGATAAAAGTAGCCACTGCAAAGAAGAATCAACATATAATTCACCAAATAGTATATATAAGCAATGGCTAAGCCTCCCTACGAGGAAGAACTTTGGATATGAATTCCCTGTCTCCTTTACTTGCTGCAAGTAATTAAAACCCCCTTGAGACAGCCACATCTCACTTTTTAATAGAGCATCCTAAGTGGCAATCACGAGTGTGGTAACACTGCAAGACATTTCCATTTCCAGGTCTGGACCCTCAACAGACACCACCCAAACCTCTGGTTCTGTCTTGCCCTGCTAGCTTCTAGCAGTCTTGGAGCTGCGTGATTACAGTTGGTATCGTTATAAAACAGAGGAGGGCCACCCAACCCAACTGTACTCTGCATGAGCCAGAAACAACCTCTGCTATGTTTAACCACTTTCATTTGTTGTTGCAAATTAATAGAGCAAGAGTTCTAGGACTGAAGGGATTAAGGGACTAGGACTTAGTGAAGGAGGACAGTTGAAGAAGGACAGTATTCTTAAGAAGGCAAGGAATTCCAAAAGTGAACTCAGGCAATAGAATCAGAAACTTGGTTCCTGTCCCAGCTGATATGGCTAAGTTGATTGAAGCATGGCCCCGTACACCAAAGGTGGCGAGTTCAATTTCCAGTCAGGGCATATACCCAGCTTGCCAGTTCCATGGTTCCTCCCCAGTTGGCATCTGCCAGAGGCAACCAATAGATCCCTTCCTCCCTCCCTCCAATGTCCATCTCAATTCATCCCTCCATGGGAAAAAATCCAACTGTGGGGCCAGAATAAAGGCTCTTCCCATAGTTTCTCCACCATATTGCAATCCAGTCCAATCCAGTATCCTGCATGTGGAGTCTGCACGGCCATGGGTCATGTGGCTGCTGAAGGCCATGTGGCTATTGAGAGAGAAGAGGCAAACACCTGGGCAAGGGGAAGTGATTGAGTAGGAGGGAACAAGAGTCAGGGAGAAGGAGAGCAAGAGAGAAAAAGCTCTTTTGTTTGGGGTTTTAACCAAGAGCTTAACCAATTAACTTTTCAAGATGTTGCATGCTTCTGATGGGGTCCATTCCCTAGCCAACTCATTATTTCCCAGACTAGCCTGACAGCAAGCACTCAGCCTGTATCACCCCAACTTCACTGCACATGCACTCATCTCCCCCTTTGTTGGGCCCCTTCCCCCAGGGATCTTCAGAGAATGGGCTGGTGGTTCCAGCTCTAAGTTCCTGGTGAAGCTGTCCAGATGACCATGCTTATAATGCCTGGCCTTCCTTTTGCTCTCTTTCTATTATTAATATTAACTAGATAATTAGGATGATAAATTCATTTTTAAACAAAATTCCTTGAGCTTGGTGCTATGTGCACAGCTGCTATTAAATCACGCTACTGCAGTGAGTGTGGCATGTGTGGATGGGAGCGGGGTAAAGTGATGCATCCTGTGGTCCTTTCAGTGTAGAAATAGGTCATTATTTGTTCAAATTAATCAATTTAACCACGAACATGCATTAGATAATTAGAATCCACATGTACTTTTGTTTGAATAGATTTTTTTTATTTCATAAAACTGGGACTAGGATTCTTTTCAGAATTACATTGCACATTTTCATTCTCTGAAGAATGCTTTAAGTTCTTTTTTTCTGTACATGGCACTTTTTTTTGGCATTTTGTACAGGAGGATTTTTAGTTTGACAGTATCATGGACATGCCTGTCCAAAGCTCTTGTCATCACATTTCAGGACTGGAAATATATATTCAAAAACATATCCAACATCTGTCAAGAGCTGGACATCTCTGACTGAGTCAAAGTCACTTCTTCCCAATTCTCCCTTAATTATATCATTCTTCTGTGTTTAAAAAGTAAGCTCAGGGATGACTAGGCAAAACTGTCTACTTTAAATCCTCAGCCTGTAATTCAAAGTTTTTCATATTTTTTTCTTTCCATATATTTTCATTCTTATACTGAAAAGACACTCCTTTGAATCTTGTTTTTCAGTCTTACTGACATTGTTAAATAATTCTTTATTGTTGGAAATAAAGAATACTTTATTGGAAAGTATTACATATGTCCCCCCCTCCATTTACCCCTTCCTTCCCCCTGCCAATCCCCCCACCAGGCCTTTAGCACCCTGTTGTCTGTATCCATGTGTTATGCATATATGCATACAAAGTCTTTGGTTGATTAGCCTTCCTCTAAAACTCCAATTTCATTTCTTGCTTGAGGCCTTTGCCTAACCTCCTCTACATAGAATATTTTTTTGCCCCCATATAAATTCTAAAAACATTGGGTATTACAAATTCCATTTAAATTCTTCTTTAAAATATTGCTGTCTCTCTTATTTATTATAATACTAGAGGCCTGATGCATGAAATTCCTGCAAGAGTAGGCCTTCCTTCCCCTGGCTGCTGGCACCAGCTTCCCTCTGGCACCCAGGACCCAGGCTTCCCTCAAAGAGGGAGGCCCCGCCCACCTGTGGCAGCCTGCCAGTAGGTGGCCTGGGCCTCCTTCTGCGGGGTGATCATAGGGCAATGGCCAGGCCCTGACCAATCGCATCGCACCCATCTTGGCTGGCCTGGCGCCAGTGGGTGTCATAGCATGATTCCGGTTGGTGATCCTGAAGATCATCTGGCCTAATTAGCATATTATGCTTTTATTATTATAGATTATATTTCATCATGCTCAGATTCTTTTATGGATTGACTTAAATTCCCAAAATAATAACTTGTGCCTAATAGATTTCCTTGTTTCACTGATTATTTATATTTATGTTGCTTTAGGGGGCACTTAATCTAGAATCCTCTCAAGGGATTTTAACAGTTACACAAAAGCAACAACTGTTTAAAGTAGGTTTCAATTCTCAGTGTTAAAAAAGACAAATAAAATAAATATTTAGCATGTACCAGTGAAAGTTATTTGATTTTATGTGCATTTATGCACATAAATGCACTAATTTATTAGTTCATATTTACTACAATTGTTGAAGGGGTTAGCCACATTTTATTGATGAGTAAATTATTCCTCAAAATCAATAAGCAACTTGTCCAAGATAACATAGTCAAGATATGGCAGGACTGGAAAACCCACTCAGTTTACCTTCCTCCAAATCCTATGTTCTTTCTACTGTAGCATATATTTGACCCTGGAACAATGGGTTTGATCTCTGCGGGTGCACTTATGAACAGATTTTTTTCAGTAAATACAGTCAGCTCTCCACATCCTTGGAGTTCACATCCTCAGAAATTGAACTACTGTACTTCTAATTTTTATATTTTTTGGCTTCAGAAAACACAGAGATTTGGAACACCTACATAAGGTATTTACAAATGATTATCGGAAGGAGAAAAAATGGATAGAATATTTAAATTTTATTTGCAGGTTTTTAGGTGATTTCTTTTTTTAAAAAATCCTTTGACACTCTTCTCTTCTGCATAGCAAATCAACATAAACACAGCAACTTAACAGAAAAGTACATGTATTATTTCACAGTTTCCGTGAGTTGGAATCCCAGTATGGCTTGGTCTCTACTCAGAATTTCATAAGCTGCAATCAAGATGACAGCCGAGCCTGGGTTTAGTTAAGGCTTGGGGTCCTCTTGCAAGTTTCTGTGGTTGTTGACAGAATTCATTTCTTTGCAGCTTCTGGCACATCAAGGTGATTTGCTTCTTCAATGCCAGCAACAGAAACAGAGAAGGTCTCCACAGTTTTCAGTCTCTGAGCTCAGGTAAGTCCTGAACCCTCTTTTAAAGGTCTGGCCTACACAAGATAATCTCCCTTTTGATTAATTAAATTTACATGATTGGGGACTTTAATTACATTAGAAACATGAGGCAATCCTTTCATTTTGTCATATAATGTGACATAATCACAGATGCATGTGACACATCTTCATATTCACAGGCCTCACTCAGACTCAAAGTGTGGCTCTTTGAAGATTATTTTAAAATTCTGCCCATCACAGGTATATTTTAATGAGCATTCAGTATTCTGTTAAGACCTTAAAATTTGAGCTGAGAAAATAACACACACAGTTCTTTTATTTCTAAATTCTCCTGATTGATATTTAGACTTCTTACAATCAGGAATTAGTAATTAAGTGTGATCTATGTAAATAACATTGTTGTTAGAGTTATTTTCTTAGAAGTAAACCATTCTTATACAATCTTTGTTTCTGAAGAGATGACTGTATAATAAACATTGAAGAATATTATGGAGAGGGTTTAGTGTTAGATGAACTAATCTTATGGCTATGTGTAATAAGCTAGTATTGACTATGATTCAAACCTAGAAAGAGACGAAGGCTGAAAATTTGCCATTAGATTTGGTCAATGGAAATAGCAAAGTTTTATACTTGATTAGCCATCAAATATCTTTCTAAAGCTTGTATATAAGATTAATAATTCCTCTGGGGATACGAAGGTCATTGTGCATTTCCTACTCGAGATATCATCTCACCACGCATGGGACAGCCAGCTTAGAAATATGAAACAGCTTATTAGCGGTAAGTCAGCACTCAAGGGCTATGAGGATATTGCTGGAGCAATTCTGTTTACTTGTTTGCTAGAACCCAAGGAGTTGATGAATAAGCAAGCATGGTGATACAATTAAAAATGAGAAATGATGCAAACATTATGCTCCCAGGACTTTCTCCAGAGATTATTGTGCAAATATTAGAGTACATATTGTGTTGGATTCTCCTTCATTTTCACCTTCAGGTAAACTTATCTCAGAGTTAGTTTTGCTGTATAGGTATTTATTAGTCTTACCAAATCCCAGACCCTTCCCTTGTAGAGAAAAGTTATATGGACTTCAGAAGGAAATTGCCAAGCATAAATCACCTCACAATGTGCCTTAATATATGTTTCCCATGGCAGAAGGCATCTATTCAGGAAACATGTCTAGACAACCAAGACAGGCAGGGAGAATGACAATAGTTACCTACCAACTTCGTGTCCCATCAGGGCCCCCTGAAGTTGAACCATAAATATGAGGCACATATTTCTCTTAGGCAGATTGCATAATTATCTGTTCTACCAGCTAAAAAGAATTTCAAAGGCTGCTGATAACTTTTAAATCTATTACATTAGTTGGAGGGTCTCAAATTTCAGTGGGCATAAGAATTACCTGCTTATACCTGATTCTTCTCTGGATAAGGTTCAACCTTCTTTGAAGTAGCTTAGACTTGAGTCAAGGAAAAAATCCCTTCTATGTGGAAATATAAGAAAACAGTAACCAGGTTAAAAGACAATTTTGAATGTAGCATGTTAGAACAGGAACTTCCTTGTAAGTGATTAGAAAGCACACACATGAACATGTATACATATACACATGGACAAATAATCATTAGTAGAATAGTAAATTAAAGGCCTTTAAATATGAGTCAGGTTTTTGAATTCTTACTGAGAAAAAAATAAGACTGTGTTGTGTTTTAAAAGTAGTCCCATGTGATAAAAATATAACATAAGCCATATGTGCAATTTAAAATTGTTCCATTATCACATTAAAAATACAAAAAGGGCTGGGAGAGGTCAAGAGGGAAAAAGGAGACATATGTAATACTTTTAACAATAAAGAATTTTAAAAAAGAAGTTTGAAAAAATAAATAAAAATATAAAAAGGAAAAAAAAGGAAAATTAATTTACTGATATGTTTCCTTTCATTTTTTGATAAGTTAAATACATTTTGGAAATTAAATAAATGCCATGTAACATAAAACAAGGGCTGTTGGATTCCAGATATTTCATTGTCAAGATTCCAGAAGAGGTCTCAAGTTCACCCTGCATGGAGGCAGCAGGGCCCTCTTCCTGGGCTGGCTGAATACTTCCTGGGCGTTCCTGGGGAGGCTCTGTCACCAGCTCTACCCCATTTGCACCTTGGTGCTCACTTCTCAGCGTTGCCAAGGTGAAAAGCAATTTGATTTCAAATGGGTGCCTTTGATTCTAGATGTCTATTTTATGGCAGTCCCTCCAGCATTTGTATCAATCCACTGTTGTTATTTTTAGCTATGGCATATCAATCGCTATAGCACATCTCTTTGTGCCTTTTCTTTGTACTTTTGATCACTCAGAATGATGATAGTCCCTTTCTTTGAGTTATCCTTAAGGCTGAAGGCTTTTCTTCATTGACTCATTAGCACTGTTGCAAATCTGGTGGCTACAGCAGAGCTCCCTGCTTTGGGAAATACCCAAAAATGACTTCCTGGTATCCTACCAGCTTATATGTTAAATCAGACCATCCTAAACATACTTAGAGTGAGGAAAATTCATCTAGCCACTTTAAAATGATGTCATAAATCGGCAAATGGAAACAATTTTTTATGTACAAACAACAAAATTAATTTTTAAAAATAGATTGAATTATCACATAAACTTCTCTTAAATTATTAAAGGTCCTTACCCAAAGGTAATAGGACTAATAGTTTAGATTTTAATTTCTGTAAACTTGAAATCCAAATATGATTACAATAGTTTCGGAAGTTGACACTTTTTATAAAAATGACACATTATCAACACTCTCAATGTAGACATCAGTTTTGCATTATTCATAATCTAATGTAGCATAATTAGGAGCTAAGTGAAAATTGAAGGGTCCATTCACCCACTAATTACTTTAATGCATGACTTTCATTGGTTTCATTTTTCCATTGCTGCCTCATTTCTTGCTACTTACCATTCTCTGTCTAAAACCCCTACTGCTGCAAATTTAGTTCCAGCTGCCCTTGGGGTTGTGTTTAGATTTGGGGCTGAGAAGAAACATAGTATACAAATGATCTGGAATATGGGTTTTGAAAATTGTGGGCACAGGAATATTTGGTTTGAAATTTGAGGCTGAGGCTGAATTCTCCTTGAAAGTAATATTTTCTTGGCAGCACTTTTGAATCATGTGGAGAGTCAGACTGACCCAAAGTATTGTCAGCCAAGTGACTGTGTCAGGAGGAGGAATGGTGTGAATCTTTTTACTGGAGTGCCACTTTTTATCTTCACCGAATCTGAAAATATAAAGCATAAATAATAAACATATGAATACAATCTTGGAAAATATGCAATCTGTTCACTTTACAATTCAAAAAAAAAAAAAAAAGAAAATGCCCGACCACTTTACTAAGCCTAACACTTCAGTTTATTCCTTTGAAATGTTCCAGCTTGCTTTTGCATATTTTGCATGCATACCGCCTATTAACACAACAGAAAGCATTTCAATAGCATAAATTAGGGAAGTATGCCAGCATGGCACAGCCCTGTTCTCTGCTCAAATGATCACAAGGCTGCAATGAAGGTGTCATTCAAGCTGAGGATTTGCCTGGAGAAAAACCCACTTCGGGCTTCACTCTTGTCAGAAATTACAGCTTGCCATGGAGCACCAAGGTGCCTGTGTCCTTGCTGTCAGCTAGCGGGTGGCCACTGTCAGTTCCTAGAGGCTTTTCTTCTTTGTTGCAACGTGGCCCCCTCCATTGTCAAAGCAGCAGTGATCTGTCCGATCCTTCTTGTGCATGTTGATTCTTACTCCTTCTGCCTCTAAGCTCTAAATCCAGATACAAGGGCTTATGCCATTAGGTTAGACGCCCTGCCTGATAATCTTTATTTTAAAGTCACTGACTTGGGACCTTAATACCTCTGCAGAATCCCTGTTGCCATATGAGGTGATATAATCACGAGAGTGACGGCTCATCGAATTCACAGGGTCCACACTCAGGGAGGAAATTGTTACCAGACTGCACCTCATTGGGGGGCATCTTAGAATCCTGCCAGTCACAATCATGTCATATATAATTCAGATTTAGAGAAAAACTGTTATTTATGAAAGATTATGGAAACAGCCTGCCTGCTACCAACCAGGAGATGAAACTCAGGAGTACAAAAGGAAAGCAAAAATAGGATCCAAATATAAACCCAGGTAATGAGGAATCAGAGTTAATGTGAGTTGAACAAAATGATGCCATTGGAGAAGGGAGGCTCTGCTAACTCTGAGCGTTGTTGGTAACAGGTGGTTTCAGTTATTTAAGCTAGCATTTTCTTTGCCATAACCTTGGAAATTTCTCGAACCATAAGACTTAGTTCAGTTGCACCTGGTATAGTTTAGTATAATAGGCTGAATGGAGGGCAGAGTAGACATAGTGGAGATAGTAGCTTTTATAGGATTTTGCCCAGCCTTAGTATTTCTACTTATGAATCCAGATTTCTTCCTGTGCCTTTGCTCAGAGAGAAAGAAAACCCATTTACTGTATTTTACTTTGAAATGTTAGGTTTGTGGCATCCCACATGCAGTGACGTATTCAGAAAGGTTTGCTTACACTAAGGTATTTGCTAGTGGCTTTCCTGGAAGTGAAGAGGTGCAGGATTAGCAACCTGTCACCTAACCTTTCTGAGATTTCTCTTTAGAAAGATTATAAAATCTATAAATTACAATTATCTCAAGTGGACAGAAAAGCTGTTCTTTGAGAATTAAACTTGGGACCTTTTGGTCCACAGGCTGATGCTCTATCCACTGAGCCAAACCAGCTAGTGACAGAAAAGCTGTTCCTGAGAGACCCAGAACTTCAGTCAGGCTCAAACTCTAGGCACTGGATATCTTGGGATTGATATTTGGGGACCTTTAAACACAGTTCCTCTCCCAGCCACCATGGCTCAGTGGTTATGTGTTGACCTATGAACTAGGAGATCATGGTTTGATTCCTGATCAGGGGACATGCCCGGCTGCTGGCTTGAACCCCAGGAGGGTTTGTGC